GACTCTTCTCTATCAGAAAAACAAAAACTGGGTCGACAAATAGGCAATAGCAGACAAATAACATTTATTTAAATGTTTTCAGGTGTGCATTTATGAGTCATTACACCCCTAACATGTTCATTTATGTGGCAGAACAGTATCTGGATTTGAGTATTAGTAACAGGACATTAGCACTGAACTTGTGACTCAGATGTGAAAAGTACTAGGTGTGTGTAGTGAGAGGGAATTACTCACTAAAAAGGTTTTGTTTTTTTTGTTTTTTTTTGTTAAAAAAAAGGTAATTTTCTGCCCAAACTACAGTCCACAGGTCGATACCTACAATGCATTTGGCTCATAGGTCCAGTCTATGAGTAATGTTCACTCATGTTTCCAACCTCTCCCAGAATAGGTCACTGTGAGCTGAAATAGAAGCGTAAACCATTTGTTCCCATAACTGCAGCTTGACAGCAGCAGCGTTTCCCACTGCACCCGAAGGTCGCCGCAGCCATCGAGGGGCTCTAGTTCAAATGCTACTGGAGAAGTCAGAGTCCATTATTTCTGAGGGGATAAACTTAATATATGTTGCTTCTGCCCTTCCTGCCAGATAGCAATGTATCACACATTGCATCAATATCTAAATATAGGAAAGGCAGACCCGATTTCAGAGTGAATTAAAATTCCTAACAACAAATAATCATTACTCTATGTGCAAGTATCACATAAACCAAACATTGTGAAATGCAGCAACAATTTATTGCACTGTGGTCATACAGCCCCTCATTTGTTCTTTAACTGGAAATTTCCCTGTCAAATCAATAAGATAGGATGATTTTAAATGACCAGATCAGTTACTTTAGTTTTGCTATATGTTATTATAATAATTTAGCATTCAATAATATGTTAAATAAGAAAATATTATATTTAATAATTTAAAGGGCCTTTAAAAAGTAAAATTGATTGTTTTTATTAGCTTTTAAGTATGTTATTGAGTTATTCTTGATCAAAATCATGCACAAACAGGTAAAAGTTGACGAAACCCACCACCCCCCACCCCCCCTCTCTCTCATGGGGAAAAAAATAAATAAAAAACAAGTGGCCAAGACAGTTCTACATAGAGCTGACATTACTCCCTCCAGAAAGCACCTACAGTACACTGACCGCGCTGCACCTGCACAGAAAATAAATGTCACCTTTCTCTGATCGGCGACTGATGATGTGGGACAGAGCACTGCAGTTGAAGCCTGAAGTTGAGATGAAGTGGCTCTTAGCAGCATCTATTCCTTTTTAGGTAATGTCTAAGTCATTTTTCTAAACTGCAAGAGATCCAAGAATTTGTTCAGTCTTCTCAGAACATTCACTGGAAGGGGTGAGACACGGCAACATCAAGACACTGGCAGCACCCACATAGGAAGAGGCAGCTTCACACTGAAGGCAAATGTCTTTCTTTGGGCTCGGAAGAAAACAACTAATATGTCATAATAAATCAATACTCTGTCATGCCAGAGGCAATATTTCATCATGTTTATGTCTATAACCGACTCTTAAAGGCTTTAAAAAGCACAATCTAAAACCTTTAATGGGCCAGCCTTTTTTTATTTGACATTTGCATTAATTCATTTCATTTTCTATTTTATTATTTTTGTTGCTTTAGGCACGTCGCACACTACAGGGGTCAAATCAAGATCATTCTGAGAACGATATCCAGACTAGGGTTGCCAGAAATACTTTAAAAGGCAGAGACAGTCCCGTATTTAGTATACAGCTAATTAAATTTCACAGAATCATTCCAGACACAGAAAAAAAAATCTAATGCTGTTAGGGTGGAGGACAACTCAGTGCTAAGAGGTCTCCTTTATCTAGTAGTTGGCAAGAACACGTCAGGAGTGTCACCCTGAAACCCCAGTTTTGGGGATACACACACAGAGGATTCTGTTGGAAAACATCAGCATTGCTGTCATCAGTGAAGGCTAAAGATGGCTTCACATGTCAACTTGGTAAACATTTTGTTTTTTCTTTAAAAACAGACAGAAAAACTCTTGTTTTCATGAATTTCTTCCTCACAAAGTGTTGTAACACCACCTCTACCCCTACTTCGAATGAAAAATAACAATACAACATTGTCATATGTAATAACAATTACACACCAATTTAGTGCTATTATTTTGTGGTCCACTAATCACTCATGAATTGTTCAGGTTACAGAAGGGATAAGTCTGAATACTTATTTGGTGTAATGAAGCTAATATGAACTAATGAGGTTTAAAATTAGTTCTCTGATCACACCAAGACAGAAAGTCTTTGTGGAAATGGCAGTTTTTACATGGGGTGTTTAATGTGTTAACACAACAGGGGAATCAGGGAGTCTAACATTTAAAATCTAACACCTGAATCGGTAAGATACCTCACCTTTCTCCCTTCGAGGGTAATGAATAGATATTTCCCCCAAAGGCAAACCTTATGTGCTAATGTATACCTGACAATGCAGAACGCATCATTTTCAACTCCTAACAGTAGAACCAGCTTCACTTCTCTGGAAGGTCGTCATCCTGCATGCCTGGCTCGTTTGTTAAAGCAGCGGGATAGCTAAAGGTTATCAATATCTCTCAAACATCTTCAATCCCACTGCAAATGAGGCAACTATGATAAAAAGTGCTATTTTTTATGACCATCTTTCTCTGCTGTCTATCTTCGTCTTTTATTCCAGCACTATTTATTCTTCCATGGGAGCGGTTGTCTCTAATTTCTCCAGGGACCCACAAGCTGCTGCTATCTCAGCTGTGTTTACTAATCTTCCCTCGACACCAATTTCTCAGCCCCGCAAAGTTAATGCTGGTCCAGTGTAAATAGCCTTATCTCATAAAACCTGTGTTCTTTCCCCTTCCCCGCCCTCTTTTAGCTTGGATGCTTGATGAATAAAGCGTAAGCAGTCTAAACATGAGGGAGGGGGATTAGGTCAAACAAGACGGTCAAACAAGACGTACAAGAAGGCAAGAAGTTTGTGTTACCCCCCCCAACCTGCGGCAGAATTATTTTTTGAGGATAAGCAGGTTTTGCATCCAACCAAATGCGTCTCCCAGTACTTAGAAGTGATCGATGTTGGGATCATTGTCATACACAGATTACAGTACCTACCTTTCCTCCACCTGCGCCAGCCAGCTTCAACGAATGCTCTGGATTGTTGTATATGCCACAGCAGCGAGTTTTAATTAAACCCAAAGGGGAAAGTATTAATTATCTCATTGCCTACTGTGAGTAGGTTAGCTGCTGCAGGCAGATTCTCACATGAATGCTGATGATGTTGAGGTGAGTGAGGTGTGGCTTTGAATTAAATGCGGGATTTATCGAGCTATCGAGCGATTGTATTGGATAAACACCTGCAGGACCCCCCCCTCCCAAAAAAAAGGGACTTTAGAACTGTAAAATGTGGGATTTTCCTCCCTCCAGGATTTTCTTGTCCGTTTTTTAAAAGGCTATTTGAGCTGATGGTTGTGAAAAAGACAGAACGCTCCCTCCGGGGCATCCATTTAACTCTGTTTAGATTGTATCTGTTCCACTCAGCCTATCTATCTTCATATCTGCCATATTAACCGTCTCCTCAGCCATCAAATCATGTCCATCCTCTCCTCAGAGATGGTAACGTTCATACTGAACACAATCGCTCCCCCTCTGCTACACTTGTACAATAAGCACTTCAATGCATGTTTTTGTCATGGGTTTATTGAGTTCTCATTACCATATGATAGACTGATTGATTAGCTACACTAGAGGGATGTCATTTTCCCAAATCATGCTGCATATTTTTCAGTAAAAGGCACTTTAATAGAAAGCCCTGTTGATGTCATTCTTTTTTTTCTTTTTTTTTTGCTGAGAACCTGAAACAGCAGTCCTCTCTTTGCCAAAACCCTGTAGGTATTTGTTAATGCAGAGATGGAGGAGCGCCTTATAAACTATGCATGTCATATCCCTCTGGCAGTCACCAGTAGAGAAGATGATGACAGGAAAGGGCTGGCTTTCATTAGTCTTGTGAGGCTGCTTAACATAAAATGATCCTTGGGGTCTGCAGAATGCAGACAAAAACAGGGTGAGGGCTTCATTAGGCCTGATGAATTACAGACATCAGACATGAATGTCAGCCGACTTACACAAGTCCAACTTTCCTGACACTTAAAAATGGCCATTTATGCTGCACTAAATCAAACATAATGTTTCTTTGAAGTGAAACTTAATGAAAATCTGTTTTTAACTATCAAAATATTTTTATAAATAATTTTTAAAGGGAATTTTACCTTTAAAAAATATGACAGTATTTGCTGGAAGCCAAATAATGTTTTACAAAAGAAAGTAAAAAAAAAAAAAATGGTTCATTTAAATGTTTCAGATTGAATATATTTGATTTAAACAAGGTCTTTAAATTAGTTTAATCCAAAATTGCAAACAAATTTCAGATTTAGCTCTGCAGATTAAGTATTACCAACAGTGATATAGAAGTGACAACATTTCCCACTGGATGTTGCATCACTTATTGAGTCTGTTATCCCAAAATGGCCCCATGGGTCACAAGGGGCCTTAAGCCTCAGGAATCTTAAGACCATCACATTTAATTTCTTATAAACATTAAAACACTATATCCCAATAATCTTCTTTAAAAAGATTTTGTTGTGTTATATAATATCCCAGGTGGCTTGATTTTTGTATTTACTGCCTGCAAGTTAAAATGTACATAGTGGTTTGCAATTAAAAATATAAAATCATAAAAATTCAGTTTGGAAATGATAAACAAAAGTGAAGGAGAAATTTGATATGGCAGCAAATATTTAAAGCATAAAGTGATGAATACTCTTATTAGTCTAAAGGTATAAAGGTTTGCTTTGGCAACTATGACTAATATTTTAAGATGTTTTCAAATTTACCAGACAAACTCTAGGTTTTCACGACTGGTTTAAAAAGAAAACAAACTTCCCTTGTTATTTTTAGCAGAAAATTCGACTAAAATATCCTGCCCAGGAAAGAGGAGTACTCACCCCTCAGGAGGTCGGTACTGGCTGAAGGTGCGCTGTACGTCCTAAACAGCATCCAGTCAAAGTCATCCTCCTCCCCTTGAGTGAAGTCACACAGATTAGGGTCTGAGTCCTCTTCAAACGTGCAGCCAGCAGCTAAACAGACGGGAGGAGATAGAAGAAAAAGACTTAAGGCTAGAATAGGTGCACGACTCCTACAGAATGATGCAAACAAATGAGATGATAAAATACAGCTGCCAGTACAAAAGGGTTTTTTCTCAGATCAGAAAGTGAGCAGTGTGAGCCGTTAACGTGACAACTCTGCAGTGGTTCAGTATCAACAGAAGGGAAACGGTAGCTGTGGTGTGACGGCTTAACATTGTGACCCTGAAATATACACCGATTACACATTCTGGAGCCGCCAACCTCACTGCCCACACGTACAGCAAATAAAAAGAAATGCTGAGTTTAGAGCAGCAGCCAAGCGCTTAACTTTAAACCTCAGTGGGCATGCAATCTGAAGAAACTAGGGTCTCACATCAATATTAGGCTTTAGATTTGGATGTTTTTAAAATACAAGTGACACTGGATATTCTGAATTTTCTCTGACCACCGGTCAAGTATTTTCTCTAACCGGTCTGGAACTAACTGGTCTTCCAGCCTCTCTCTCTCTCTCTGATGGTACTTGTTGATAAAATTGTGCACTTCCAATAACTGAAATCTAAATAATTAATTATTTCTTAAAATAAGTGTATTTGTTCTTGAATTGAGGAGGCAAGTTTGACACTTTGCCAATGGAACAGTATAATTTACGTTTAAAATAAGAAAGAAACAACTGCAATGTCTTATTTCAATTGCATATTTTCTAATATTATTTTAACAGTAAAAATACTCATTCCATTAGTACATAATTTTATTTACCTGTTCAGATTAAGGGTAAATACAATTATTTTTAATAAATATTTGCTTATTCCTAGATCGTTTTTGCAGTGTGCACAAATTATGCATGCACAGCTTAATGATTTAGCTGGTTTAGCTTAGAGAACAAGGCAACACCTTTAAAGAGAAATAAGAAAAGCTGAAACAAAGGGAAAAATTAAAAACAAAAAAACTTAAATGTGCTATAATAATCACGATTAGCTACCTTATTCGATGTCATTAGAGGACGGAAACGAGGTTTCATCTTGAATAAATGAATTTACAACAAAACATATCAATTCTATGTTGTTTTAGAAAAAGAAAACACAGTATCTGATGAGGGTTTCAATTATTTTAGTAAAAATACTGAAAAGGATTTTCTAAGCATTCAATGCTGCAGTGTTTACTTACTGTACCTGTCAGAATTAGAGTACTATAATACAGAATCTCATTTATATCAAATTATCAGCTCAAGTGTTTTGAAAACAACAACATGTTCCAAATATCCCTCAAACATATTAAGCGACATGATTTTATTACTTTAGCCTTGAGGTACTAAAACTAAACATAGCAGAAAAGCAATGCCCCAGCATGTGTGCAGATATGCATAGAAAAGTAGATTTTAGAGTGAGCAGGTCCTTTGGGAAAGGCAGTTATTATCATAATAACTTGCAGTCTGCCATCTATTACATCAAAAGGCATCATTTTTCTAAATGATATTAGATAGTGATAACTTTAATGGGTCCTGGGTGCAGAAATGGTGGGTTTTGGTTGTTGTTCCCCACATCTGTTGCCATATTTCCCATTTTTCAGTCGGTGTAAGAGTTACAGCGAAGCAGTGGGCAGTTTTTAATGGTTCTGTCATATGACCCCAGAGCCTGTGTCAGTGTTAATTTGAGTGGGACAGCATGAGACGTGACATGCTAATGATAGGAATAATCACTGGCAGGTCCTGAAGGTGACCCCCGTGGTTTACTGCTCTTTTTTTTTTTTCTAATCTGCCATTAAACAAATGCTTTCAACGTGACAGTGTGCCAAAAAGGAACTAGAACCGGACTCTCTGTTGTGATGATTCATCGCCTGTTTCAATACACGTGTAGATTTTCAAATGCTGAAAGTCTATTCAGACTGCTGCAGTGGTTTCGGGAGCTAAAATAAATCTGCAGCATAAGAAACTAGTTATGTTCATCACTTACTTATTATTTGTTTTAGTGTTACCATGAAGGTGAAACAAAGACAACTTTCCACTGGTGGGAAGAATAAAATAAATATCATTGCTCATCTTAGCTTCTGGATATTTTTATTTCTATGACATTTCAGGAACTAATTCCTAAAATGACTGTGTAAACAGTTTTTAATACATGTTGAACATAATTGAGTTTATTAGTACCTTTCAGAACATTTCAATGATTCACTGTCACATTGACTGTTACTGTAATGGCCAATGAACATGCTTTGGTTGGTCGGTTTTGTTTCCTTTTTGTTGTATTTCCAGCTTTATCTTTAGTTGCTTTTTTTGTGTAGTTGTGTTTCCCTCCAATTTTATGCCACACCTGTGTTCGATCCGCTCATTACTCACTGTATGTAAACCCCCAGAGGTTCTCCGACTGTTTCCTGGAAAGCCTTTGTATTCTCTGCATTCAAACTTTCCAGCTGCTTTCTTTTCTCTGTATTCCTTGCTGGCTCCTCTGTGCTTGTTCCCGCACTTTTGTAAGCAACTCATTGTGTGCTTTGGGATTTATTTGGACTTTGCTTGTATGTTTTTTTTTTTGCCCTTTACCTGTTCTTCTTCTTCTTGTGTGTGTGTGAGTGTGTGTTGGGGGGGGG